AAAAAAACCACGTGGTCCGACTTCACGGAACGAGCCCGCCGGGGAGTTCACTCACGAGAATGGATTTCTAACGAAAGGGAGAAGTGGGTGTTGGTGTGTGTGTGTGTGTGGATATACACACACACACACGTACACATGTATATACACACACACCGTAGACAGAAAGCTGCTTGTCCAACGGCCAACCACAACAATTGTCACGGCACATTAAATGGAAGGAGCAATATCAACGCCAGGAATCACTCACGATAAAAATATATATCGAAAAATATAGAAAGTTTAACACCTAGGCTTTCGCTAACAATGTCATCCGTAATTGAGGTTTTTTTGGGGGTTAGATCGCGTAAATATATAAACGCGTCGTTAAAACCCGCCACCATTCAGACAACACCAAACTAGTAAATGTTGTCACGTAAACAGAACGTGCCAATTTGATGAAGCTAGTTGTAATTACTGGCAAAACGTCGTACTCAGATTGTAAATGTTCTGGTTTAGCTCTCCAACACACCGGTGCAGCTGTACTAGTATACTACACTATACACTACACAATACACTATACACTACACTATACACTAGTGCTGTACTGGTGACGAATTGGCCACGATCTGTTTACGTGACAACCCTTACTCGTGGCTGTGCCGGGTGGTGGCGGATTTAACGACACATTTATATATTTTCGCGATCCATCGCAAAAAAACCTCTATCATGGAAAATATAGAAAGTTCCACTAAAAAAGCGCGGCGTATTCACTGTGTTCACCGTATTTATAAGACGCTCCATTAAATAAGACGCCCGGTGTCAATAAAGTTGTAGAAATTTGGTCACACACAAAGACAAATATCCCTCGTATAGCCTACACGGGTTGTTGGGGCAAGTGCTGTTAGCGAGCACCTATGAAGGCCGGCACGGCACACAACGGGTCTGTGGCCAGCATCAGGCCCGGCCGCCTTTGTCTCCCCAGTAACGATGTTTACACACTACACCAGGTACTCATTTGAGGCTGAGTAGACGTAGCGGAGGCCCAGAAAACGGGGGAGAGGGGAGACCGGGGGGGAGAGAAGGGAGACGGGGGGGGGTAAGGGGGGACGGGGGGGGGAGGCGAGATGGGGGGTGAGGGGGTGAGGGGGGACGGGGGAGAGGGGAGACGGTGGGGGGGAGACGGGGGGGTAAGGGGAGACGGGGGGGGGGACACGGGGTGGGCTGTAAGGAGCCGCCGGGTACGGAGTGAGCCACGAACAGCGAAAAGCCAATTAACGAGCAACACTTGCAGAGGGTCTCTTAAATGCTCCCAGGGTGGCCTGGTGAGTTCTAATTGTTACTCGAGCCTCCACCCACCGCATTCCGCCCGCGCTGCTGCTCATCTGGCGCGGTCATCTCGGAGAACACTACCGCCGTCTAACTCGCTCCTTCCTCCTCCTCTCTACGCTAAAGTATGTACATTGAACTTCTTTCGCATCGTACGTAGCCAACAAGCTTGTTGTTTGTTTGCCCCCCCCCCACCCTGCGGATTTCCACTGCCCCACGGAGCAAGAATCCAGATCTCGTGCTCTCTGAATTGAACAAAAATACTAAAATATATATATTTTTATTTCACCAGGTAAGGCCCAATGAGCTATATAGCTCTCCTTTATTTTTGAGGAGCCACCTGGCCACAAATGATAGGTCCACAAAGTGGCTTAACATCACGTGGATATTTATAGCAGCCAAAATACTCTAAACACGCGATGTTGTTTTTGTTTCTAAACGTGGGCGGGGGGGAAAAAAACCGGAGGACCCGGAGAAAAATCCACGCGACCACGGTGGTGAAAGAACCCGCAAACTCCAAATATTACAGCAGGCATCAGGGTCGGGATCGAGCCCACGATCCTCCTGTACACCAGGCGAGGGTCGATAACATCTCCTAGCCACCGATAACATCTCCTAGCCACCGATAACATCTCTTAGCCACCAATAACATATCCTAGCCACCGATAACATCTCCTAACATCTCCTAGCCACTGATAACATCTCCTAGCCACCGATAACATCTCCTAGCCACCGATAGCATCTCCTAGCCACCGATAGTATCTCCTAGCCACCGAAAACATCTCCTAGCCACCGATAGCATCTCCTAGCCACCGATAACATCTCCTAGCCACCGATAACATCTCCTAGCCACCGATAACATCTCCTAGCCACCGATAGCATCTCCTAGCCACCGAAAACATCTCCTAGCCACCAATATCATCTCCTAGCCACCGATAACATCTCCTAGCCACCGATAACATCTCCTAGCCACCGATAACATCTCCTAGCCACCGATAACATCTTCTAGCCACCGATAACATCTCCTAGCCACCGATAACATCTCCTAGCCACCGATAACATCTCCTAGCCACCGATAACATCTCCTAGCCACCGATAACATCTCCTAGCCACCGATAACATCTCCTAGCCACCAATAGCATCTCCTAGCCACCGATAACATATCCTAGCCACCGATAACATCTCCTAGCCACCGATAACATCTCCTAGCCACCGATAACATCTCCTAGCCACCGATAACATCTCCTAGCCACCGATAACATCTCCTAGCCACCGATAACATCTCCTAGCCACCGATAACATCTCCTAGCCACCGATAACATATCCTAGCCACCGATAACATCTCCTAGCCACCGATAACATCTCCTAGCCACTGCGGTGCCCCGTGAGGGTGCCGCGTGTCACTCTCTCCATGGCAACGTAACAACAAAAATCCATCCTTTTGCAATGAAAGCGGCCCGAGTCTTCTTAACCGACCCCGAAGTCGGAGCGCGTGGGCTATCTGCACCACCCCAAGACCCCCCCCAGTTGCAGACAGGTCAACGGAGAGAAAAGGGACACCGAACGGAACCGAGCGATCTCCCCGCGTCTACTACAGCACATCCGGGACGCACGGATGCGCACACTAACGCTTGCAGTGACACGCACGCACGCACAGACACACAGGGGGGATGGCGGGAGGGTCGTGCATGTGTGCACGCGCATTTTGCTTGTCTTCACGCATGTCTTCGCCCACGCAGGCGCGCGCGCGCGTCGCGAGAGCGAGCCATCTGCACTTTCGCTCAAGCTGCCTTGCTAAACCGCAAGCGCCTATCGCGTGTCCGGCCGGCCGTGCAGACTTTGCGAGTCGTTCTCTTCGTGAGTAATTCAATTACATCTTCACTCGGGGAAACTCGAGAGAGAGAATATGAGTGCATGTATGTTAATATATATCTCGGCTCGACTCGCCGTCTGGATAAACCCCCTTACATTTGAACGCGAATCCCGTCTAATGCGCTCGGCTTTGTAATTCATCCAACAGTGGCGACTCCTGTATCTTTTGGCTGGCGTCTGTGCTAAAGAGCGCACGGGGCTAAGCAACGCCGTACGGTCGAGCCGCAGCGGAATGGCATCAGCAAAGCAACGTGGCCAAATTTGCCGCCGCTGTTGACGAGAGTCGTGAAACGAATTACTTGGTGACGCTGCTGCTGCGTTGGCAGGGGTGCACGAGGCACAACTAACACAGCAAACTGAACACATTAACAAGACTACGGCCTGAAAAGTAAATACATACATGCAAGGCGACGTTTCGGGCAATGACCCTTCTTCATTGCAAAGGCAGTGTTATGATTCAAGTGCATAAACCTCATACTCTTTGGTTCTATTCGGTAAAGTCACGTAGGTAAAAAATAAACAAGGGACCAACGCTGTCCTCTGGACAGCGTTGGTCCCTTCACCTGATGAAGGCCACTTGTGTTGTGGCCGAAACGTCGTGATTTTTGTTTATTTTTTACCTACGTGACTTTACCGAATAGAACCAAAGATTATGGATCCTTGCAGTCATGAAAACTTCAAATCTAGAATGCATAAACCTCGTCGTCATCAGCCCTGATCTATCCACCGCTGGGTGAAGACCTCCCAAAGCTATTGGCATCTCTCATAGCCTCACGATGTAACAATCCGTCGAGCTCCTGCACACGAGCTTATTCCATTGCTCCATCTCCACGGTGGGACGTCCTTTCAGCTGCTTCACCATGTATTTATTTGTAATCATAAGCGAGATGGTTGTTCTGCCAAACCAAGAGTCGTTGCACTGAGCTGGTGCCACTCAGGACGTGGGTTCGAGTCCGGGTTTCAAGCCGTCCGTGATTTAACCGGGTTCCTAGGTTGATGAAGGTCTCCACCTCGTCACCAACGACTGCACAAATAATTACCAATCGTGTGTTTGCCTTTACGGTGAATTTAGTAACGACGAACAAAATCCAGATTCGATAAAAAAAAATCGTCGTTGACCTGCGTCTGCGCATTCGTGGAAACTGCAGCGCCCCCTCGTGTGGATATACGAGGTCTTCTCGAGAGAGAGATCACTCGAAGGTGACCTCACAAGTAGCCCCGCACTATCTCCTTCCGTGAGCTCTTTTATAGCGCGAGGTGTCGCACTGCTTTCTGCGAGAGCGCAGAATTATTGACGATTGTCCACGTCCTAGCACAGCGGCAATTATCACGCCCGTGTGGAATGAAACTGGTTGGGGGAGTACGTGCGCGTGTGCACGTACGTTGAACTCCTTTCGCACCGTACTTAGTCAAAAGTGCTGATCGGAGGTGCGGGGAAAGGACCACAAACTAAACACACAAACGCAGTTCTAAAGAAATTTGTTTTCAAATCAGTGGCTTCATAATATCGGGAAGAAGAGCGTTCCAGACGGCCGCAGAAGCCCATCTGAAAGCGCGCGATGCAGTGCCCGTATTTGTTCGATGGTTTAGCCTAAAGCCGCTGCTGCGAGGGTGACGGAAGTTCGCGTGATGATGGTTCATGCTCCTTGACGAGATCGCCAAGGTATTGTGGTTCATTCGCGGCAAGCACTTTGCGTCTAATGAGCGCATATATGTTTTTTTTTTAATGCACAAGTGTGTACAGCATCACCCCCAGAGCCCAAAGCCCTGCACTGGTGAGAAGATGACTCGACACAACGTCCCTGAGACGTCAGTGCTCTCACCTGGTGAGGAAAGTGATGGGCCGCGTGCCAACTCGAATGGAGCCTTGTGCCCGTCCTGACCTTGGTGTGTCGTTGTCCGCTCTCAAGAAGAGTGCCGTGAGTTCGAACCCTGGGCACCCACACAGAGCAAGTGGAAGGCACCTCCGATCAAGCGTGGTTGGCTACGTACGGTGCGAAGGAAGTGCAACATACATACGGCACATAAGCACATGATACATACAAATTTCGTGTCGTCCATTAGCCTTTGAGCCCGCTATTACGGCGAAGCAGCATTTGTTTAAGCAAGCCAAAGATGGACCGGGTTTCCACCTTGTGAGTTTCATCAGCAGTCAGGCTTGCTAAAGAGGTGCTTGCTGGGTAAACTGATGTGATTGACAAGACCACTCCGTCGTGAATACGGCACCCTGTACACACTCAGACACGCAAACCAGTGTTGCCGCGATAATTCTTATATTTGGTTCTTTCGGTAAAGTCACGTAGAAAGATAAAATATAGAAAATAATCATAAACAATTACTAAATAAATAATAAAATATTCCATTACTTTCTCTTTCTACGTGACTTTACCGAAAGAACCAAAGAGTAATTCCTGCAGTCACGAAAGCTCCAAACCAAGCGACGATTCTTGCTTGTCCCCCACGCGATATTAATCGTCACGTTGCGACGATTAATAATCGCCACGGGAACTTTCCGAGCAACGCCGTCATTTGCTTCCTCGCAGTTTCATCGCGCTGTTCTTTGTGCTTTGCCGTACCCCCAGGAAAAAACGATGAAGTTTTACTGAGAAGCTCGCTGTAACTGCAGTTCGCTTCAGCACCAGCCTACCACGCACGTGACTCCTCTATGCCGGTGTGACGCCGCAGTCCGCAACGCACGTCACGCACATGCTGTCAAGTTAAGCAAAGAGGTCATTCAACAATGAAATCAACCACGACAATAATGAAGTCGTGCGCGCGTCAGTTACTCCGGAAAGCATTTGGCAAAGCGCTAACGTAACCGTCGATACCTACTGTATGTATGCCCACTGATTTATTGCGCTTTTATTATTTTGATGAATATGTTGTCAAAATAAAATTCAAATACGACCAAATGAGACCCTCGGTAATCACGAAATGGACCGCGCGATTACCGTGGACCTTTGTACCGTACCATGTATCGTAGTATCGTACGATCTATCGCAGTATCGTACAATGTATCGCAGTATCTACGATGTATCGCAATATCATACGATATATCGTAGTATCGTACGATATATCGTAGTATCGTAGTAATCGGCGTACCGCCACGCTGCTACCCGCAGCAATACCTCTCCGGCAAAGATTCACGTCTTCTACCGTACGATATATCGTAGTATCGTACGGTAGATCGCGGTATCGTAGTATCGGCCGTACCGCTACGATTCTACTAACAGCAACACCTCTCCGGCAAAGATTCGCGTCTTGACGAGAGGTGACCTCGACGCTCGGTGAGGAAGACGTCGGCACGTGGTTTGTTTGTTGTTGTTGTTGTTGCTAAAGCGTCGTGCTAGGGGAAACGTTCGCCAGCACGCGAATCCCAACCCCCCGGGGCACTTTGCAGGCGACAACTCTCTAGATGGGGGGGGGGCTAATCAAGACTGGAAATTAAAATCTGAGACTTGGAAGGTTTTTAGGCAACTTGGAAGTTCTGCAGCGTGACCCCAACACCGTGCTATTTTTTGTCAATTCTCAAAGCTGAGAGCGTATTTAATGAAAACACAAGGTTGTTAAAATCTGTGCGGGCAAGTGAACGTGTCGGTTATGCCTAAATAACCCCTTGAAAAAAGCCTAAATCGCCTTTATCAATCAGGGACTGAACGCTTTTTTTTAAACGTCGATTTGATAGAGTGAGTGGAGCTGCTTTGGGAGCTCAGGGATCAGACAGCAGAGCGAGCCCAGAGCGAATCCAGACCCAGCTCAGACCCAGCCAAGACCCAGCCCAGTCCCAGCCCAGACCCAGCTCAGACCCAGCCCAGACCCAGCCAAGACCCAGCTCAGACCCAGCCCAGACCCAGCCCAGACCCAGCCCAGACCCAGCTCAGATCCAGCCAAGACCCAGCCCAGACCCAGCCAAGACCCAGCTCAGACCCAGCCAAGACCCAGCCCAGACCCAGCCCAGACCCAGCTCAGACCCAGCCAAGACCCAGCCAAGACCCAGCTCAGACCCAGCCAAGACCCAGCCAAGACCCAGCTCAGACCCAGCCAAGACCCAGCCCAGACCCAGCCCAGACCCATCTCAGACCCAGCCAAGACCCAGCCCAGACCCAGCTCAGACCCAGCTCAGACCCAGCCAAGACCCAGCCCAGACCCAGCTCAGACCCAGCCAAGACCCAGCCCAGACCTAGCCCAGACCCAGCTCAGACCCAGCCAAGACCCAGCCCAGACCCAGCCCAGACCCAGCTCAGACCCAGCCCAGACCCAGCCCAGACCCAGCTCAGACCCAGCCCAGACCCAGCCCAGACCCAGCTCAGACCCAGCCCAGACCCAGCCCAGACCCAGCTCAGACCCAGCCCAGACCCAGCCCAGTCCCAGCCCAATCCCAGCTCAGACCCAGCCCAGTCCCAGCCCAGACCGAGCCCAGTCCCAGCTCAGACCCAGCCCAGACCCAGCCCAGACTCAGCCCAGATCCAGCCCAGACTCGGGTCGCCGAGTTCTTAGGGCAGGCGCGCTAACCGCTGCTCCACTGCTCCCCACGCACACACACGCGCGCATACACACATGCACTCACCACACACGCACCCATACACACACACATGCACCGACACACACTCACACGTACGCACCGCACACGCGCGCTCTGGGGGAAGCAACGGCGAGGACATTACCAAGACTCAACACGAAGAAGATTGTGAAACGGCGACTCCGGGGAATTATTTTTTTACTGAAACAAAAATCTTCAAATCGAGACGCGGCTTTTGCGCAAAAACGCACGGAAACTTTACGAAAGATCAACAAGAGAGGAAATATACATTTTGGCGGAGGAACACAAGGAGACGTGGAAGGCTCCACGTGGAAAGTTTAAGTGCGCGGCTCCCTGTGGGAGAGTGCGGAAGCGTTACGCTGCCTCGTTCGGAAGCGCTGCCGACAAACAACGCCAGATTCAAGGGGCGCGCCACGGTGGCTAGGAGATGTTAACTACCTCGCATGGTATACAGGAGGTCGTGGGTTCGATCCCGAATCTGACGCCTACTGCTGTATATTTGGAGATTGCGTGTCTCTCTCCCCGCAGTCGCGTGGATTTTTCACCGGGTCCTCCCGTTTTTCACCCTCCACATTTCGCATTTGGCTGTTATACATTTTCAGGTCGCTTCTGAAAAATACCGATATAGCTCAGTGGGCCTTACCTGGTAAAATAAAAAAGTTGTTTTATAGTTGAAATCGTTTCAGTTTCATATACTTACCCAGAAAGCAGGCTGTCAAGCTGTTCCAGGACACTGCTTGATCTCTACGTACGACTAGCACCAAGGTATGAATCCAGCCCTGTGGTTCGAGCAAGTGTCCTATATCGAGAAGGTTTAAATCTTGGAGCTGGGAAAACACCACCTTCATCTCTCCATTACCAAAAAAATTAGGGCCATTTTGGCGGGAAGTCTACACATTGTTCTGCTGTGGATTGCCTTGCCCCTGTCGTAGAAATGTGGAATATCCATCGTCGCCTCGGGGCTGTGAGCAGACGATGAGCACCGTCCCACGAGTCGTTTGCGTAGGGAGTCAAGCTGACTTTTGACCTTGACTTGGCAGAGCTGATTGGACGAAGTGCGATCAACTCAGCTGCAAATATCGGAGCTTTAAAAGTCTAGATTGGCATAAAATCGAATAAATACGATGGGGTTTGTTTTTGTTGGAAATCAAATAATAATTATGGGTTTATTTGGCAATCACACTTCAACCAGCGCGTTGATGGAATTTTGATCATTTACGATCTGATCATAAATCCATAACCCTCGTGTCTGTGGGCACGGAGATTACGGTTTAATTTCGGCTTGGGGTAAAAACACGGTCCGCATTTCTCATTGTGCTCGTGTGACAGACAGATTCAAGGTGGCGGCACGAGCCGACTCGAAGTTCCTGCGTTAAGAATGCTACGCGATGGCAAAGTAAGGGGCATGGAGGAGGCTTACCACCAAACGTGGAAACTCTTCACTAACCTCTCCTCCAGCGGGCATTGATTCTTAAGAGCTTTCATTCGGGAATTGAGGCATTCCCCCCACGTGCAACCTCCTCCCTTGTTTATTCCCTACATGGGTATCAGAGCTGAGGGAGATACCAGGAGGTTATTGAGTTTATAGAAACGTGCGGTCTAAGACAGGTTTCCAGTGCGCTGTTAATCCGCAATGTGTGTGTGTGTTGTGCTGGTGTCAACCCCTTTTAACATCCTCTGCGGTATTGCGCACCTGAAGCGTCTTGTCAATAAAATACTTTGGGAAGGCAAAACGAGAAGGAATGCTGCGAGAATGCCACTCGCCTCACACGTAGAGAGAACGCCGCACTCACATTCACAACTGTTGTTTTTCTATTTGTATGTTGTTGTTGTTGTTGCGTCTTGTATGAAAATAATAATGATTTGTTTATATTCTTGGTTCTTTCGGTAAAGTCACGTAGAAGGGAAATAATAAAATGATAAAAATATAAAACAATAGAATTCTTGAGAATATAAAACAATAAAATTCTTGACAATTTTATTGTTTTATATTTTATAAAGAACCAAGAATATGAATCCCTGCAGTCACGAAAGCTTTAAATAAAAATAAAAATGATTTGTTTATTTATTTTTGAGCTATTCCAAAAGGGGGGGGGGGACACATTGATGGTCACCTGAGACTTTCCTCTGCTGGAGATTGCCTTCCGCGTGGCTTCTCAGCCCCGTCACAGTGGGGCACGTTTCACCTGTGTGCGGTGTGCGTGTGTGGGTTAAAGGGGTTCAACAAACGACAAAGTTTATTTGGTGATGCTGCCGCATTGCCAGCGGTGCACATGCTGAGTTAACAAGCAAACTAAACGATATGACAATAGGTTTTTACCATTTCTGGCAATAAAACAGTTGCGTTAAGATGTTAAGACACCAAACAGAAACCTTTTACAAGGAATCGTGTCTGCATTAACCACAGATACTTGTGGTGAACATGCAAACAAACTAAAAAACATGCTCTGCTAGTATATGCATCGTCTTTCAAACCAGAGCCAGCTTTCATTTAACATCTTAACACAACTATTTTATTGCCAGCAAGGGTAAAACCTATTCATATATTTTGATACTGGCAAGGGAGGTCCCATGAATCAAACAAAACGACTCAACACATTCGTTAATTATACCGTGTGGCCTTAGAAGAAATAATGTGTATAACAGAGTAGAAGCCCTCTTAACGAAGGTGATTGGTTCCACGAAAAGGGGCCGTGAAGTGATTTCGTCGCTAAGCGAGTATAGGAAATACACGTTAAAGGCTTAATTAGTTCCAATAGCATCGGAAGTTACCCCCTTTTTCACCACAAAAAACGTACTTACAACATTTATACAATGGATATTAATACGTAAAGATGCTAACGACATTATAAAGTCATTATATTAAAATAAACATGGTTAATCAATGCATTCATTAATATGTACCTACCTATAACCGCTCGTCGTTAACAGGGGAAATGGTTGGAGGCCCTATACGACTAAAAACGACACTAATATACACTACACTATAAACTACACTAATATATACGACACAATACACTACACTACTATACACTACACTATACATTATACACTAATATACACTACACTATACACTACACTATACACTACTATACACTACACTATACACTACACTATACACTACACTATACACTACACTATACACTACTATACACTACTATACACTACACTATACACTACACTATACACTACACTATACACTACACTATACACTACACTATACACTACTATACACTACACTATACACTACACTATACACTACACTATACACTACACTATACACTACACATTTGGCTCTATGGAGGTTCGTCGTTAAGCGATTTGTCGTTAACAGGGGTGGTCGTTAAGATGGGTTCTACTGTAATAGGCGACGTTTCAGGCAATGGCCCTCCTTCGTCGCACGCAGTGGCCCGGCCCATTTATGTGCCACCAACTAGCCTCATGGTCCGAAATGTCGCCGAACATTTTATATATTTTCGTTCCTTTTAAATACATAGTGTGAATGAACGAGAACACAGTGACAGTGACGCAGGTTGGGACGTTTCATGCATACACGTGGCCTACGCGATGCGTTTGTCTTCAAAAGTACCGCGTGAACAGGATGAAAGTCGTACGACGTTTCGGTTGGAACACAAGCAGCCATCATCAGAACCAAAGATTAATTCCTGCAGTCACGAAAGCTTCGAACCAAGTTCAGGATGAAAGTCACCAGGCAGCTGCCCGTATCCTACAACGACTGCGTTTTTGAAAGCAGTTATTTTGGCTCTGAATCGCGCCTCCGAGCTGTGGGCAACCCATTGATCAATTTGTCCACTTTTCTAACGGGTAAGTCCTTAACAGTAACACAGCTTCATGTTGAAATGTTCATATTGGGTCATCTTTGCGAGAGTTGTCACGACCACAAGTTACAGACACACCGACATACAGACGGAAGCAAAGTGACTTCCTATTGCTGGATTTAAAATTCCATTTCCACCCATTAGATTTTTCAAAACTTAAAGTCATTCATCGTGTTGCTGCATAGGAACTGATATGATCGCTCCATCTCTACGGTTGGACGAGTTCCTTCCTTTGGCTGCCATTCCATCGCTAGTCTCGTCCACTAGCCATCATCCCCTCTGAAGAAAATGGGCCCTAGGTCATAACATAACGAGATGTTAACTTCCTCGCCTGGTATACAGGAGGTCGTGGGTTCGATCAGCGACCCTGACACCTGCTGTATATTTGGAGACTGCACGTCTCTCTCTCTCTCTCCCCGTGCTCGCGTGGATTTTTCTCCGGGTCCTCCGGTTTTTCCATCCACATTTAGAATCAAGCGTTGAGAGTATTTGGCTGCTGTACATTTCCACGTGATGATAAGCCGCTTCGTTGAGCTATCATTTGTGGCCGGGTCGCTTCTGAAAAAGCGCTACATAGCCCAGTGGGCCTTACCTGGTAAAATAATAAATAATATCGTTTAGTTTCATGAAGCAAATTGACCATGACCCACAGGGTTATTGGGCACTAGCACATTCGCTCGCCTTAATGGTCAATATGATGTGTCTCTGAATTGCGTTCGTCGCCCGATCCAATGCTTCACATGACGCGCGCGGCTACAGTTGCGTTGGTTGGGCGCGTACATCCGGCGGTTAACAGATTTGTGGGAAATTGTCGGGATTAGTCGGGATTTGTCGGGAATGTCGGGACTGCCGGGAATGTCGGGAATGTTGGGAATGTTGGGAATGTCGGGACTGTTGGGAATGTCGGGAATGTCGGGGGTGTCGGGAATGTCGGGACAGTTGGGAATGTCGGGAATGTCGGGGGATGTCGGGGGTGTCGGGAATGTCGGGAAATTCGGGAATGCCGGGAATGTCGGGGATGTCGGGGGGGTGTCGGGAATGTCGGGAATGTCTGGGCTGTCGCGAATGTCGGGAATGTCGGGATTGTTGGGAATGTCGGGAATGTCGGGGATGTCGGGGGGGTGTCGGGAATGTCGGGATTGTCTGGACTGTCGCGAATGTCGGGAAATTCGGTAATGTCGGGAATGCGCACGTCACCTGCTGTCGCGCCGAGACTCGTGCACAGCAGGGCGGCTCCGAGCAACATGGCGACGGCGGAGGGTCCCCGGCGCGCGGGGCGCGTGTGGCCCGGCATCCCTCGCGACGACTCTCGGCGCACCGCGCTTTACGCGGCACCGCGGCGGCACACGCACAGCAGCACAACGCTCATCGTCAGCATCATCATCATCAGCAGCAGCATCGTCATCAGCATCATCAGCAGCATCATCATCATAATTCAGCAGCATCAGCATCATCATCAGCATCATCATCGTAATCTGTCGAGCACCGTCATTAAGACGTCATCGTCATCATCAGCAGCCATGATCAATCTACTGCTGGATGAAAGCCTGCCCAATCAGTCGCCATCACTCGCGGTGCTGGGATATCACAATCCACCCACAACCCACCGCACATGAGCTGAATTCGTGAATAATAATCAATAGGCGATTAACACCATCATCACTTAATTCCTCATCCAACAGAAAATCTATATTCATCAACATAATCATCACCAACAAACATATATTATCATCATTATAATCAATACTTCAATAATCCCAATAAACACAGCGACTATGTTCATCATCATAATCAGCATCAATAGAGATATCATCATTATTATCATTCTCACTTTCATTATCAAACAAATGCATTATTCATTACCATCATTTGTTGGTAAATATCAAAATGTTCCACTGCAAAAAGTATATATCATTATCATCACTTCAATTATAATTATCAAACACATACTGCATTAAATATTGAATTAAAGCTTTCGTGACTGCAGGAATTCATATTCTTTGGGTAAAGTCACGTAGATAGAACAATAAAATAATAACATATTTTTTTAAAATACATTTTTATTCACTTTACTTTCATTTTTATTATTTTACTGTTCTTTCTACGCGACTTTGCCAAAAGACCCAAAGAATACATACTGCATTCACAATTAAACACAAACTTTAAAGTCATCCATCATCATTCAGTAATCAAAATTGTCATCAAGCCACCACTGATAACAGTGTTAGTCACATCTCGGTCCCAATCTCCCCAACCACGATGGGTTCGAGAACCAGGTGATGCAGTCGTACAAACCAGTTCGAGAACCAGGTGATTCGTCCGTACAACCCAGTTCGAGAACCAGGTGATGTGGCCATACAAACCAGTTCACCTGTCCCCCACGTTCCCAAATTATGGTGCCACTTAGCAGAATCAAACCGCGGGGGGCGGGGTGAGGGAGTTAAACGGACACTGATTGAGTGCTCAGCAGTGCAAATCATTGCTCAAATACTCCGTGCTGTCATCACCTGTGACCTCGGTCATGAAAACACAGAAAGGATTATCCCGAGAATGCGGTGAAATAATGCAATTAACAAACTCCGCTTCTCTCGCCGCAAACGAGAGGCCCCCGTGTTGTAAACAGAGGCTCCGCGGCTTAACGGAGAGGCCACCAATTGACTCTCGGCACGCGAAAGCGGGGCAGGATTAGGGCGTCTTTCTGATCGTCTCGAGGAGACGACGTTTTGCGAGCCCTGCTGTGGACGTTCACCATTCTACCAGTCGGTAATTAGGAGCGCGGGCTATCGCGCGGGGCCTTTTGATCCCACAAGTCCACGTGGAGCCCTCAAAACAAACACCCGCGTGTCACTTTCTGCCCCCATAGCACCTCACCCCCTCCGAGAAAAATACGGTTCGCCAGGAATTCGTCCACGCCAATGTCTTGGTTTACGGGAAGGAAGGGGAAAAAAAACCCCGACTTTAGATTAAAAACTCATTTGCAGATTGAAAACTAATTTTCCCGATTGAAAATTAATTTCTAGATTTAAAAACTCATTTCTTTAGAGCTGCTTGTGGTGTTCAGTTTGTTGCTTTTCCACCGCACCTCCGATTAGCGCGGCTGACTACGTACGGTGCGCAATAAGTTCAACATACACACACGCGCGCGCGCGCGCACGGACGATTTGAACAGTGAGTAATAAGAAGTAGTCATTGCGCTTGTACAGCTCCGTATGTCAATCTACTGATGGATGAGGTCTGCTTCCCCACGACTTGTGGGCCGCGAGGGATGTTTGGCCATACTTCACCACGGTGGTCAGTGTCGGGCTAGTGAGGGTGAAACGGGAAGGGCAGGACAGCAAATTGATTTCTGCTGCGCTTGCCCTCGACTGCCCTACAACGCCTCCTCCTGCATCCGCCTTTCACGCGTGGTAGTGGTGGTGGTCCTTCCAATATTAGGAAGCCACTGGGAGCTATGAACTTTTAATTCAAGATAGAAACCTATTAGCACGGTTGGCTACATACGGCGCGAAATAAGTTCAACAACGTACGTACATGGTCACCCATCCAATGACATCCCTTTGGCGCACCTCCATCTGTACACGCGTGAAGGAAGAATTTTATTGATTTTCTTATCTTGATATTCTCCCACACCGACGCCGATTCGAGTTATTTTTTTTCGTGAGCTATATATTTGAAAAGCAGGTGACGGGTGCCCAGTGAGATGAATGCCACGTGTCCTTGGAGCCGCAGGCCGCCTCGAGTATCCAACTTAGGTTGATCGCCACGCCGGCTTTATTTTTCTGTTTGCGGGCGAACTTTGAGAGTTGGCTACCAAATCGGACAGGGGCCTAAAATTGCCCCCCGACTGTTTCGCTTCTCACGCCGGGGGCCTTCAGTTGCGAGAGTGGAATTTAGCGCCAAAGCGGGCTGGGGTGGGGGAGAATGCATCACCAAACATGCCAATCACAAAGGCTCGGTCGGTGGGAATATTTTACTTTTGTGATCTACCAGGCTCTCGGGTAACTCGGAAAATAATTTTGAACATTTTTACATTTTTCTTTGTAACCAACTCGCAGTGTCCATCACAAGTTGACGTTTGGGGGGAATAAAAAAAAATTAGGCTGAGGCGACTCGAGTTGCCTGTCCAAATGGAAGCGAGGTATCTTTCAAATGAGAACTGGGACACACATCCAGTATACACAACAAATAAAGGCGCAGCCCTGCAATTGCTCGGTCACGACCCTGCTGGCGGATGGCCTCCACGAGAAGAAGCTCTAAAGAGTCCCTCCAGAAGGTATGCGGCCTACTATGTACTACTATTTGTATTTTACCAGGTAAGGCCCACTGAGCTATATAGCTGTCTTCTTTTTCAGAAGCGACCTGGCCACAAATGATAACTCAATGAAATGGCTCATGATCATGTGTACATTTATAGCAGCCAAATACTCTAAACGCGTGTTGTTTCTAAATGTGGAGGGAAATCCCGGAGACAAATCCAGGCGACCACGAGGAGAGAGAGAGACATGCAAACTCCAAATATAATCTTCCATGGTGGCAAGAGGTGGGAGTTACCCACACTTTACCCCACCACACGTGAACTGCCAATGAACTTTGGTGTACCCGTCGCTACGTCTAGTTGGACATAAACGGTGTCGGTGGGATTCGAGAAACTTGCAAGGCAGTCTACGCACAGGGAACACAACAAGACTGGTGGCATTTAGCATCGCGACAAAAACGCAACATTTTATCTTGAACACTAATGTCCAATATCAAATTCCGAGTGTGCAATAAGAGCTCGTGTGTGTGTGTGTTTGTATAGACAATGTAAGTAAACAGGCCTATACAACTCTCCTCGGATAACGTACATGATACACGCACACACACATTCGAGGAATACGCGAGCTTAAACGCCTTTACTTTTCGCGGAGCGCGTCGTTTAAATAGTATGTACATACGTAACGCTTTCCTTTTGTGCGTCTCAACCCCGTCAAGTTTATATTTACCCCCACAGGAGCGATTTCCCCCCCCACCCACCCGAACGGAGCAGTCGACCTTTCATTTGTTCTCCATTAATCACGCGAGAGAATAAATGTCAAGGCGCTGCCACCTTGACGATCAGACGCGATTCTCAACCATGAGTGACCCAAACAACGGAGTTTAAACCCCCACAAAACTCCAAATAAAATCATTTCCCACGCTGTGGGCACCGCGCATATTTTATACACCTCCCCCCACCCACGTCCCAACCCCATCAGCCCACCTCCTATTTGCTTTTAAAATGTTGGCGTATAAAATAAATGGGTAACTTTACCTGTGCGCCATCCATCCATCCACGTTGCAAAATGTGAAACTGCGGTCACTCGGCCGTAACGTATACATCCGGATGGAGGGGTTGGATTTCGCAGCGCGAATAAGACAGCGTCGCGTGCCACCGACTGACTGACTGCATCGACAGATTGGGTCATGGGTGCGAGGAGGAGGAGGAGGAGGCCTGCATTGACGGGCTGAAGCGCACAGGTCGCGTGTCGTGAGATACAGTTTCCTATTGTTACGTCTTTTTATACGGGCAGGAGTCTCGGAAGCGGTTCGATGATATCGAATTAAAGCGGTCTATTTGCCTAATAGGGGATGGACCCACTCACTGATTTGCAAGAGTTCTAAATGGACACTCCTGCCTCATGGCACAACCCTAACCGCACCAATTGATCCATAGGCCAGAATGGAAATAGGTACCACCATAAGGTCGCGAGACATGAGCACTCCCGATTTATCTACGACTGTATGGCTAAGAATAGTGAATTGCTTGGCAACCTTCTCATTTAAAACAGCTGTCACGTAATTCACTGTTGTTGGCCACATGAAGGAATTGCAACCACAAAAGTGAAGCTATCTCAGGTGACATATCTGCTCTGGGACTATATTGGAATTAAACTGAAGCAATTGACTGCTCTTTTTACCTACATCACAAAGAAAATGAGCAAACCTATCTCAAAATGTGAGTAAAGTAACGTCTTCATGTTTGTCATTTCCCCCCAGTTTTATGCATACTTTCCTATCGGTGTTAATGTCGCATCACGAGATAGAGAATCAATGGAAAGTGGATATCACAGAGCTGCTCCTGAGATATCATTAAGCGACATCTGGTGCAAAACCACAGAGTAGTGTTCGTCACATTGCAGTCAAAACGGATTTTGTTCATTCTCAGAGCTGTAATTTAGTCAATTTAAGTGCAGACGCAAATTGAATATGAAGGGATTTTTTTTTCGAGCAGTCATTGGTGACCGGCTTGAGACCACCAACTCAGTACATGTCACAAACGTGGTTTAATCGCAGTCTAACCTAT